GCGTGCGCGGTCGATGTGCGCGCGCTGGAGAAGAACCCAAAGTGGGGGTCCTCAGGAGGCCTCAAGAGGGCCCCAACAGGGCCCCACGATTGGGCCACCTGGTGGACGCTCTGTGGGCCTCTTGGGAGCCTCGCGAGGGTCTCGAAAGGGGCGCGACAGGGCCCGAGGCATTGCGCTGTCTGCACGAGCTTCGCTCGAACAAACGTTTGCCCCGAGGAGGTCTTGAGAGGTCCTAGAGAGGCCCTAAGGGGTATGCAAGAGGCCCCAGAACGACACCCAATAGATCCCCCGAACAGATAAATCGTAAGGCTCGCTCCTCCGTTATGTCCTCTTGGTGCCTCTCGGAGGCGCGTTTATTCGCGGCTCTCTTGGAGGCCATCTCGGGGACTCTTGGACCCCCCAGGGCCTCTCCCAGAAAAGACTCCAAAGATGGCCCCAAGAGTAGCCCCCAGATGGCCCAAGAGGTAACAAACAGAGCAACGAACGACACAAACATATTTCGGTTCTCCATTGCACCCACTTGGCGCCTGACACAACATGTTTTTTCTTTTGTGAGCGGCTCTCTTGCAAGCTAACTTGGGTCCCACTTCTTATTCCTCATCGTCGTCTTCGTCCTCCTTCTCATCCACCTCCACGTCCTCCGCGGCCCCGGCGGCCCGCGACCCCGACGGCCACGCCTGTCCAACAAGTTCCAGGACTCCCGTGCACCGCCCCTGCGAGAGAGAGAGAGAGAGAAAGAAAGAGAGAGAGAGAGAGAGAGGGAGAGAGGGAGGCAGAGGGAGGAAAAGGATGGGGAGGAGGAGGAAGAGGAGGAAGAGGAGGACGGGGAGGAGTGAAGGGGGAAGGAACGAGGACGGGGAAGGCGATGAGGAGGACGACCCATTCGGCCTCCGCCGTCCGCCGCCCCGAGGCCGACGATCCGCGCGAGGGGTTTGCCAAAATCGGCGAGCTCCCAGGGCTCTCTCCTAATGGGCACTTGGGGTACAAGATATCTGGGACACCCTTCCGCGGCCCGCTGGGAGGGGGAGTTCATTTTTGAAAACCAGCCGCCCTCCAGAAACCACGCGCGGAAGGGGGGGAAGCGAGCCGCCCTTCCAAGTTGAGGTTCTCCGCTTTCCGCCCCTGGCCTCGAGATTGTTGTGCGGATTTGTTCATTAGTTCGACGGTCCCGGGGCCCGACAAACGGCGTCCAGGGCTCGGGGTCCCAGGGGCTGAAGAATCGCAGGCATCCCCTAAGACTGCGGCTTTTTCGCCAAGAGGTCAAAGCGTTAGAGAAGTTGGCAAACATTGTTTCAGAACCCCACTTTAAATCCAGATTCGCATCGAAACAGCATGGCAAAAGACCCGAGAAATCCTGCAGTGCCCCCGCCGTCGAGGCCGCCGCCTCGCCGCCGCTTCCCGCCTCCCCCCTGCCCAGGCTCACCCTTATATGGGCCCCTGGAGGTCAGGGTGTCTGTGGCCACCCAAATCTCCTCCCGAGGGTACCTGTTTTGGACTCCTCGGTCACAGGGTTCTTACAACTTGCAGGTGCAATTTGAGAATGTTCGGTCCAGTCCCCAGAGCGCGGGGAAGGCGCCCTTTGGGCGCGCGCGTGGCGCAAGGCGGATGTTCAGCCCACTCTTCGATCGCAAGGAGAACAATCTCCGGGACGCGCGCGGGGCGTGCGCGCGGCGCCGCGGGGATGTTCATTCGGAGTGAACATCCCCGCGGCGCCGCGGGGTGGAATGACTCATTCCGGGAGTGGAATGAATCATTCCACTCCCCGACGGAGGAGAAGGGGTCGAAGAATACAATGGATTCGGGAGAATACAATGGATGACTAGGATACCTCATGGCACTGGCTTTCATATTGTCGACCTAACACGTTACACGTTTAAAGACAATATTTAATACACACATCATATTCGTATGACTCGTGTACATAATTGTGGGGTACCATACACCTTGAATGCAGTACGTGCGTGTACACCCTGAACATACCCACCCCAGTTGCGGATGCGAGTGGGGAGCGGGAGGCGCGGCCTCGAGATCTAATGTTGTTTCGAAACGGCAATGGGTCCTAAACAGCCAACGGTGCCATCCGACAACATGAGTAGGATAACGTTTCCCATAGCTTTCGGGGTGCCCTTGAACATAATGGGTCGCCGCGGGGTCGCGGAGCGGGTCGGGCGGGTCTCGCGGCAGGCAGGCCGAGGTGGGCCGCGGGCGGGTCGACTACGACACCAACACCAACACACATAAAACAACAGCAACACCGGCCACAACCATAGCAGACGACGACAAGTGACGCACATTCGATACGTTTAGTACTATATGTTCATGTTTGTGTACAATATGCTGCATACGTATATGCCGCATGCATATTTCAACACACGCGCGGCTAACATGTATACATGTGTGTATAGTGTGCAACCATAACAAATGTATTATGTAGCCCAATACTTTCGCACACTCTGATTTAGTAGATGCATATACATGCGCGTTCACACATAATATATAAACGATGCGTGCCGCATAATATTTATGGTTTACACGATATTTAAATATGTAAGTGAATATGTATATATATATATATATCGGCGACAGGGAAACCACATACCAATACATATGGGATGTAATAATATCGGGTGCGATATATATCGCCGTGTAATTATATGGGGGTGTAATTATATCGTGGTGTAAATATTCGGGGTGGTATATATATCGTAGTGTAATTATTCGGGGGTGCCCGCGTGCTTCTGCCAAGGGTTAATGGTTGTAATCCAGATAATGCATACACATGAACCTTTGGAGCTCCGCTCGGATTTCTTGGATCGGCGCTGGACCCCTCTCCCTGGCGTGGGGAGAGTCGAAGGCGCCAGGGGCGGCGCCGCAGGCGGCGGCAGTGAGGCCCAAGCGCCGATCCAAGAACTCCCCGCGGAGCTCCAGACTTTTTCGCGGCAAACGAAGCCATGAACAACTGACAACGCAACGCAAGTGCCGCACAAACGGAACCAACACAGGTGAACAGGTTAAACGAACACGTGGCTAAGCTGCATGCTTGTACCATATTTTCTCATTCGAGTGAAGGGGGCCCAGACCTCCCAAGGTGGCTACTAGATGGGGTCCGATGCTCCAAGATGGCCTCCAAGATGGATCCATATAGCCGGAGAGGCTTCAAGATGGCTTCCCCAAGAGGACCACGAGCCGACTCCAAGTGCTCTCGAAGCCCTCCAAGGACCCCCCCCCCAAGAGCACGAGCCACGGCTTCGGATGTCTGGGATCGGGACCTGGGCCAGCGTCGAGCCCTGGCTCCCTGCAAAGCCACAGGCCGCGCACGCGGCGGGCGCCCGCAGAAGGCGGAGAGGGCTCTCGGGGAGGAGAGCGACGAGGGAGGGGGCTCTTGTTGGTGGGCCGATCTCCCACCACCGCCACCACCACTACCACATGTAGGGTAGGGTGGAGGAGGAGGTGAAGGCGGAGGCGGAGGAGGAGGAGGACGAGAAGGCGGAGGAGGAGGAGGAGGCGGAGGAGGAGGAGGAGGAGAGGATAAGGGGAAAGGGGAGGAGCAGGAGGAGGAGGAGGAGGAGGAGGAGGAGGAGGAGGAGGAGGAGAGGAGGAGGAGGAGGAGGAGGAGGAGGAGGAGAGGAGGAGGAGGAGTAGGAGTAGGAGTAGGAGTAGGAGGAGAAAGATGAGGAGGAGGAGGAGGAGGAGGAGGAGGAGGAGGACCTCCACATCCTCCGTTCTTCCAAGTTCTACCTGTGGTACAGTGGTGGAAAATTGGCCCATCACTTGTGGCACCGGGACCCGACACGCAAACTTTTGGAGCTCTGCGCGGGTTTCTCGGATCGGCGCTCGACCCTCCCACAAGCATGCGACCTCTTGATTTTTCATTGCGCGGTCCCCGGAAGTCCCGCTTCCTCAGGGCCAGCTTTTTCTCCCGAGTCGTTGTTTGATGGTCCCGAGGCCTGGCGAGGGCCCCTGGAGACCGAAAACGAGGAAACGCCGCACGTCCTGTTTTTCCCAAAACGCGAGCACGTCTGGATCTTCCCTGGCTCGCAGGAGGAGGAGGGGGAGGAGGGGGGGGGAGGAGGGGGAGGAGGAGGAGGAGGAGGAGGAGGAGGAGGAGGAGGGGGAGGAGGAGGACCAGTGTAAAGTCAAGACGCACCAGCGATGCTGCCAGAAGCCCTCCCCCCAAATTCACTCATCCTGGGTCCCTAAAAGAACTTATTTCCCTTGCTGGAAATGCCATATTGAAAAGCAACCGCGTCTGAGAAGTCCCAATCGTTCCAAAATGCCATTCCTGGGACTTCAACGCCGCGGATCAGCGTGACTTCCTATGAATTCCAAGTCATGCCAGAACACCATGCCAGGGACTTCAACAACGCGAATCAACGTGACTGCTGCTTCCTGACAATTCTTAGGCCGCGCCAGAGCACCATTTCTGGGACTTCAGCCCAACGACTCCCTTACACGATTGCGAACATTTAAAGTGAATGTGGGCGGCGCTATTGCGAGAGCCACATGTTGCACAGGAGCCGCCCTCCATCCTTTACGCTATTGCAAATAAAAAAATTAAAAGGGCGGCTCTGAGCCGAGAGCAACTTTTTGAAAACCAGCCGCCGTCCATCGTAGAAGCTGCTGCGCAATTTTCAGACGAATGGCCTGGAAACATGTTTTGAAAACCAGCCGCTCTCCGAAACTGTTGCAAATTTCAAGCTCCAGGAACATAAGCCGTGACGGAATATCACACGAAACGCCCGGCCCGCCCTGACGACGCGTCTGCGGGGGACAATGAAGAGCTACGTGTCAGGAAAAAAGATGGAGGAGGAGGAAACGAGTACAAAAGAGGAGGAAAAGGAATGAGGACTGAGGACGAGGACGAGGGGGGTGGACGAGGACGAGGAGGAAGAGGGGGCGGACAAGGACGACGATGACGAGTAAGAGGACGGTGAAGGCAGGCGGATGAGGGAAGGATGAGTGTGGTAGTTGGAGGAGAGGGGAACAGGAGAAGCACATATTTGCCCACCCAGCGCTTCGCCTCATGGCAGCAGCCAGCAGGGAAGAAGCGGCACGCTCGGCGACAATGCGCAAGGGATGCCCGCCCGAACATCACGGCGCATGACCCTGGGCCGGCCAGCGCACGCGCCAAGTCCAAGCACGGGAAGAGCCGCCTGCTCACCGCGTCCTCGCCGCCGGCTTCCCCTGCGCCTCCTGCGCGAATGGGGAGAAGTCGGTCCTCTCGTCGAAGGGCAGCCCAGTCTGCAGCCTCCACACGGTCCCGCACGTCGCGTAGTAGTGCTGGCTCAGGAGGAACCTGCGGCTGGAGGAGCACGGGGAGGAGATAAGAAGGATGGATGGGGAAGAGGGGAGGAAAGAGAAGGGAGAAAGAGGGGGGGTATCCAATGTCTGCCACTACTCGTTGTCCTTACCCCGGCGCCTGTCCACCTATAGGGGGGTCCAGATGTTCACATTGAGCGGTGGGTGAAGGGCACAGGAGGTACCAACACAGAAGGCTGCACTTCCGTGTGCTATGTGCTGACGCATAGCACCTATTTACGCATCCAACGGCAATGACACTTTACACAATCGCAACTTACAACAATCTTTTCATACCGTGCAGCAAGCTCAGATCTTGCATGCCATCCCCCAAGTCCCTCCCCTTCATGCCAACGCCGCGACCACATTTGTTCGCCGCCAGCGGCTGTAACGATTTCTGTCTCTACGTGTACGATGCGCCGCAAGATCTGTCAGCGCCGCGCCGCCGCAACCTTTCCCTCTAATTTCAGAATATGTGTCATGGAAATCGGGCTCGGTGCATCCTCATAAGCATGTGATACAATGTCAGGCATCGCTTCTTGTTCGCACGTCATCTGCGTCACGCGGCCGCTGTGAAACTGACGCTCCTGTATGCTTGCCTCCGGCCACCATCTTGGTCATTTGCCATCATGGGGATATCTTCGCCACTGCGGCCCGCCTCAACTTACACTGTGGCGCGCGCCACTTCGAAAGCCAGAAGAGCTCTGCGACATCTGTAGCTCCACGGACCCCGCTCCTGCTGCGCGTCCACCGCGCGCCGTGTACTTCTTCGCCCTCCTCAGGCGTGCTTCTGATCTTTTCGTGGCCTCTTTATTTCTCCAGATTCTACATGACAAATGCTTTCTCCATTCGTAATGTCTCTTTCCGTTTATCATCTCAAGTGCACTGGACGCCCGGCGGGCTTGCTTCCCCACGACTGCAGACACACAAAAGGTAGCCCCCCCACCAAGATCCACTTCAGACGCCTCTTCTTTGAACGTTCGCCTTCTCCTCTGAATTTGGCCATCATATTCTCGCGAAAAGCCAAGCGTGGAGAGGGTCAATCTGGATGCTCCAGAACGTTGGCCGAAAGATTCCAACTCAAGTTCAGAAAACAAGAACACTACTGAATTCCTCGAGAACGGGGGAGCGGGAAAGCGGAGAGAAGGATTTGATTTGAAACTCTCCTCAGAAAGATTCCAAATGGAACCCTCCTCAAAGGATTCCTATTGAAATCCTCCTCAAACGGATTCCTATTGAAACCCTGCTGACAAAAGATTCCAATTGGAATCCTCTTCGAAAAGGATTCCTATTGAAATCCCCTTCACAAAGACTCCTATTGTAATCCGATTCGAAAAGGTTACATTGAAATCGCCATCAAACAGAATCCTCGCGAAATGCGAATCAACAATAATCCTATTGAAATCATCCTCAAAAGGGTTCCTATTGAAATCCTCCTCAAACATATTCCCCTTTAAATGTTCGACATAAGGATTCCGACTGAAACCCTCCCAAACGGATTCTCATTGATATCCTCCTCAAAAGGGTTCTGGTTAAAATCCTCATCAAACAGAATCCTACGGTAACCCGAGTCAGAAGGATTCCCTGCGAAATCCTCCTCAGAAGGATTCCAATTGAAATCCTATCCAAAAGGATTCCCATTGAGATCCGTTCGGAAAGATCACTATTGCGATCTTGGGGGGCGGGATAGCGGGAGGGGGGGGGCGGGAGGGCGGGAGAACGGGGCAGCGGGAGAGCGGGGAAGCGGGAGAGCGGGAGAGCGAGAGAGCGAAGTGAAGGATTCCTACCGAAAGCCGCATCACAAAGATCATTGTCGAAGCCCTCCTCAAAATGATTCATAGTGTAATCCTCTTGAAGAAAACTCTGGTTGAAAACCTCGTCATAACATTCTTTTTGATATCCTCTTCGAAAGATTCCTATTGTAATCTACTCCCCCGCTCCCCAGCTCTCCCGCTCCCCCGCCTTCCAGGACCTCAATGGAAATCCGTTTGGAGAGGATTTCAATTGGAATCCTTTTTCAGGGGATTTCAGCAGGAATCCTTCTACTGACTCGGATTACAATAGGATTCCTTTTGAGGGGGATTTCAACAATAATCTGTTTGAGGAAGATTTCACTAGGATTCTGTTGAGCTCGGGTTACACGAGGATTCTGTTTGATGACGATTTGAATTGAATCCTTTCGGATCGGATTACACTCGGCTTCTTTTTTAGATTTCGATCGGAAATCTTTTGATTCAGATTTCAATGGGAAACGTTTTGAACAAAATTTTAACTGTAATCATTTTCTTCGCTCTCCCGCTTTCCAGCTCTCCCGCTTTGCAGGATTGCAAGAGGAATCCTTTTGAGAGGGTTTCAAATGGAATCCATTTGTTGAACATTTCAATGGAATGGGAATCCTTCTGAAGAAAATTTCAAGTGAAATCCTTCTGAAGAGGATTTCAGTAGGATTACTTTTGATTCGGATTTCAATGGGAATCCTTTTGAAGAGGATTACAATCGGACTCCTTTCGAGGAGGTTTTCAATAGGAATCCTTCTGAGGAGGGTTTCAATAAGAATCTGTGTAAGAGGATGCATTGGATATCCGTTTGAAGAAGGCTTCGCTAAGAATCCTTTTGAAGATAATTTCAACCGGAATCCTTATGAAAATGGTTTCAATTGGAATCCGTTCGAAAGGGTTTCAATCAGATTCCTTTTGAAGAGGTTGCATTGTCACTGGTTCACTTGCGACCAATTGGCTTGCAACCGCTCGGAATACGCATTTTTGAGATGCAACCGATCGGTTTGCAATCGGGCGGCTGGCAGTCGATTTGTTTGCCATCGATTGGGTTTCGATCGATTGGATTGTAAGCGTTTCGGCTGTAGCTGATTGGGTTGAAACCAGACTAGTTTCATTCGCCGGGGTTGCAATCGAATTGGCTGCAACAGACAGGATTGCAATCAAATGGTAGACGATCGATTGCGTTCCACTCGATTGGATTCCAATCGGCGCGATTGACGGCGATTGGATTGACTCGATTGGGCCTCAATCGTTTGCATTGCAGGCATGTTGGAAACCAGTCGATGGATTGCCAGCGGGTGGTTTGATCTCGACATCTTCTGCAATGCGTTGGAGAATAATCGATTCGCGTGCAAGCCAGAGGCTTGCAATCGGTTGGGCTTCAACCAATTTGATCACCATCGTTTGCAACGCAATCGATTGGATTGCACTCTCCTGCAACTGAATGGTTGGCAACCGATTGGTTTGCAATCGGCGAATTTGCTTGCGACGAGATTGCAAGCGATTCGGCTGCAATCGATACAAGAAATGGAACTGCAAACCAATGGGTCGGAAGCGAGCGGATTGCAATTAATCGGTTCGCAACCGCTTAGAACCAGAAGGGCGGTTGGCATTCGATTCCTTTGCGACCTAGCGGGTTGCAATCGGCTGGTTTGTCATCGGTTGGGTTGCCGCCGGTTGGATTGCAAGCCGAAGGGTTGCCATTTTTTGTTTTGCAACCGCTTGCATAACAAACGTTTGCATTGCAATCGATTGGATTGCAATCGACGGGATTGGCAATCGATTGGTTTGCACATGATGGGCGCAATTGGTTCGGCATGCGCGTGCAAGCAGTTGGATTGCTTTTATCGCGCTGCAACATATTGGGTTGCAATTGGTTGGGTCGCAAGCGATTGGGCTGCAATATGTTGGATTACCTATACGACCACCCTGCGGGTGATAAGGAGGTTGTGGGGGGGTGGGGGGAGGGGGGTGGCTCATGACGACAACTGTGATGAACGTGGTGCTGATGAAGAACCAAGATGAGCAACCATGATGAGCAACCATGATGAGCAACCGGCGGGCAACCGACGGGACAACGTGGGCTTCCGCTTGACAAGGCCGGGGGGGGGGGGTAAAACATTTGTGTTGGCGGACCCCTAGCGACAGCAGATTGAATTCCTCTCGCTGGCCCACGCAGCTTCGCCTCGCCCGCGCGCACGGCACGAGCACGAACTCGAAACTCGATTTCCCGGTGGGGGGACTCCGTTCTACTGCGATCTCGCCCCCCAACCTCCGACTATCATTTGGAATACCATCGCTTGGCATGCTCTTGGTCGTACTGCAACCGAGATGCTTGCAATCGAATGCGTTGCAATTCATTGAAATTCAATCGATTGGGTTGCAAGTGGATGGGTTGCAATGGGTTGGTAACCAGTTGCATTGCAATCGTTGGGTTGCAAGCGGTTGGATTGGAACATGTGGCAATCGATCGGTTTGCAAGTTGCCAAACCGCAATCGGTTGGATTGCGCGCAGTCGGCTTGCAATTGCTTGGCTTGCGTTTTATTGGGTTGCTATCGTCTGGATTGCAATTGCTTAAGCTGCAATCGATCGGGTTGTAAACGAGTGATTCGTAATCGATTGGATTGCAATTGGCTGGGTTGCAGTCGGTTGGCGTGCGTTCAACTATGCAAATGGGTTACACTCGTTTGGGTTTGGAGCAATTGTGCTGTAACGGGTTGGGTCGCAGTCCAGCGGATTGCAACGTCTGCATTCGGCTGGGTTGCAACCGAGTGGTGAGCAACATGTTGGTTTGCAACCCATTGGGTTTCAAACGAGTGGTTTGCGCGCGATGGGTTTTCAATTGCATCCAGTTTGGGTGAATGTCTCTCGGTGTTAGTCGACTGGGTCGCCACCGATCTGACTGCAATCGTTTTTTCTGTAATTGTTCGGTTTGCGGTTGGCTGGCTGGCAAAATATTTGGGTTGCCAACAATTGGGTTGCAAGCTGCCGGGTTGCAATTGATTGGATTGCGACCGAGTGGGTTGCACGCGGCAGGCTTGCAGTTTATTTGATTGAAACCGAATGGGTTACAATCGTTTGCATTGCAATCGTCTGGGCTGCCACCGGTCGGGTTGCGATCGGAGTGGTTGGCAACGGAGTGGTTTGCAATCGACTGGCTTGTACTTGTCTGGATTGCAAGCGGTTGGGTTGCACTTGATGGGCTTCCAACCAATTTGG